ATTACTAAAAACCCTTTTAACCCGGTTATGAAGCTTAAAGTAGTCTCATGTTTTGAAATGCTGTTTTTATATTGTTTACTTATAAGAGAAATGGACCGAGAAATTGAAGCGGCATAGACAAAGACGGATTGTCGGGGATTAAATTTTAGCTACCTGCTACAATTTAGTACAGTCCGATCGCACAAAGTTTTGTTAAAAGTACACCTTATCTATACGGAAAATACATAATATAAAAATATTGAATATAAGCACCAGTACTACATTTATTTACGATTTGCATACATAATAAGCTTTTATTACTCTCTTTCATTTCTAAACAGACTATAAATACAATAATTTTAAAGGTAAAAATTAAATTCAGTTTCGAATGTTAGAAAAGTTTATCTCATAAAACTTTACATCATAGTCTGATGATCGATACATTTACGCTGCAGAAGAATTGATATTTGCAAAAAAAGTGAGAAAATATTAATACAGTTGTCAGAATTACCTACAAATTACTTACCAAACGCTTGACACATCTCGATTTTCGTGATTCCTAATCTAATTATGCTACTACTCGACATCGTTGTGAACCTCGGCGCTTGCAGTAAATTTTCTGAAACAGGAAAAAAAATACGTCAGAAAAGGACCGCCACGACCTCAAAATTATTACACACGTTTAAGCTGTTAATAAATCTGATTTTTATGCTAACAAAGTTAATTTACTTCGATAAAAAGGTAATTAAAAAATAAATTAGTTTACGGGCACATTATGCGGGTAAAGTTCGCGCTTTGTGCTTAAAAGTTTCATGAAATTAATGTGAATACGAGGGACACTAGAGAAGTTAAACAACAAACCATGATAGTGTATTCAATATTTGCACCAATATTCATTTTAATATTGAACTGAGGCATTGTCAATTTGTTTCCAATATGGTTGTAGAACTTTAACGATGACTATGAGCAACTGCGATTGAAAAATATTGTGGATTTTTTTTCAAGAAAATAGATACCTATGTTTTAGTATAAATCACTACATCACTACATATTGTTGTTCACGATAAACTCAAAAACTACTGCACCGATTTTCATGCTGTTTTCACCAATGGATAGAGTGGTTCTCGAGGAAGGTTTTAGTATATAATTTGTTAAGTTTTTGTATACATTAACGATATTTGTTGGAGGTGTCGGAAAAAAATAAGCCGTCTGGGAGCTTTCAACGAAAACGCTGCCTAAACCCTTTGAGATATAACAAAATAATGTAT